TTATTAGAGAAGGGGGTTTATTAGAGAAGGGGGTTTATTAGAGAAGGGGGTTTATTAGAGAAGGGGGTTTACTAGAGAAGGGGGCTATCAGAAAATGGGCTTATTAGAGAGGAGGAGCTATTAGAGAGGATGGCTCTTAGAGAGAGGGATCTATTAGAGAGGGGGCTTACTAGAGAGGGGCTTACTATTTATTAGAAAGGGGCTGATTAGGGGGGGGGGGGCTATTGGAGAAATAGGGTTTATTATAGAGAAAGAAGCTTATTAGAATGGGCTGATTACAGTGGTAGGTTTATTAGAGGGTGTTTGTTATTTTTAAAGAGAGAATAGATGACATACAATAATTAAGATATAAGTAACCTTACAGTGACTGGTGTACTGGGAGCTGCTTTATCTGACTGGAACAAAGGTCTTTGTTTTCGAAACCAAGTTGACTTGTATTGATCCAGTTTCTTTCCTTTATACTTCACCTGAAATGATAGTCACCAAATTTGTTCAAATTAAATACCCCTGGAAAATGAACAATAGTGCCCTTGGTTGAGCATTACTTACTAACAAGTCATTTGTACTTACGGAAGCCCAGCCACAACCAGATTTCTTGGTAGGATTAACAAGTTTCTTACAATGTATAGCCCAAGCTGACGGAGAGTTGAATAGTTTGTCACTTCCTTCCCATTTGATCTTGCCACTTGGTAACAGATCCGCAACAAATCTTTGACCCTTAAAACAAAATCAGAATATTTGAACCAGATCAGACAATCCTGCATGGGTATTGACCTTCACAGCTTGCAATCCCACAGCTACAGTAATACTAACCAGATAGTCAACAGACATTCATCCTGCATGGGTATTGACCTTCACAGCTTGTAACCCGACAGCTACAGTAATACTAACCAGATAGTCAACAGACATGCATCCTGCATTGGGTATCGACCTTCACAACTTGCAATCCCACAGCTACAGTAATACTAAAGCCCTGTTTACACGACCAATTTTTATGTGACAATTTTTATGTGACAATTTTTATTTGCTTGTGTAGACGAGGAAAATTGGGCAATTTTTGTGTGGCAAATACAGTTGCTGAAAAACTAGCGTGTTAGCTTTTTTGTGACAAATAAAAGTTGTCACATACGAAAAATTGCTTGTGTAGATTACTTGTCACATAAAATGTCATATTTTTTCTCACGCCATATTTGTAAAAATATAATTGTAGTTTTATTGCGCGAGATACCGTGGTTCATAGATATTTTTTAAACAACAATCAACAATTATTTGTTGTCTCATCTACATAACCAAATACATTTGTCACATAAAAATATGAAAAATTGTCACATAAAAATTGGTTGTTTAAACGGGGCTTAACCAGATAGTCAATTTAGACATGCATCCTGCATTGGGTATTGACCTTCACAGCTTGCAACCCCACAGTTATAGTAATACTAACCAGATAGTCAATAGACATGCATCCTTCTTCAACCATCAACACACCATCATCAAGCAACATCTTAAGGGTGACACCACGTCCACTCAAACTCGTTCTCCCAGATTTCTTTCCTTTTCCTTTTTTCTTTCCATCTAATTTCTCGCTGTCCTCTGGAATCTCAAGTTGTCCTTCATCATCACCTTCGACATCATCTTCCTCCATTTCTTCATCCCGTTCAACTTTAAAATCTTTTTCAGCCGTTTTCTTCTCCATCACACACTGTTATAAGCATCGGCATACAGGAGGGGAAAAATTAGGGGGGACAAAAACAAAGTTGCCTGACCTTTTTGCCCAACTTATTCCAAACACTTTTCCATGCTAAAGTTCCAAAATTCTGCCAAAAAAAATCCAAAATGGCAGCCAAATGAGCCAATAGGCTGATCTGTTCTGTTGTAGCCCTGTACGTACAAAACAGGCTGACATTTTGCACTAAATTTTCATGCCAGGGTCTGGGGCACAGAATAGAGACATACAGAAGGTCGACTCAAACGAAGGTCGCTGCTGCCATGTTCCTAGCCAGTGCGGTTATAAGAGGTATTCACCCCTTTTTAATATTTTCAGGCGGGTGAATGCCTCTCATATAAAAAAGCACACTGGTTAGGAATATGGTGACAGCATTGCAACAGTTATGCCAAAATCACAGGCATAACCAAGAAGTCAACCTTCTGTAGTCTGGGGCAGACCTACAGGGCACTTTCCATGGTCCGCCACCTTTCACTTCAAAACATGGGCCAGAGTTTATATAATTTTAGTCTCCTACTCCCTGTAAAGTTCACTCGTATCACCTCATTAATAAACCGTCTAGCAGATATTAAAACAGTAAATTCACATATACAAACCTTACAATATTACTTTTACTTCCTTACAATGAAAATCTGCACTCTTCCTGTTTTATATATAATCACGAAATTTGCGTTCAAATACGAACAACAAAACAATCCTGAAATTTCACATTGGCCACCATATTGAATAAATTAAACTCGCAGGAGTCTGGGACGAGATAGACATTTGTTTTTTTCAGTCAGAGAAAAATGATTTCGTCCGACGTTTAACGACAGAAATTTCGGTATTAACGTAGCATACGATATATGGAGAAACTTTTAAGATTTTTTAACCTTTGTAATGAAGAAATATTTGCTCTAAACAAAGTTATAACTAATTATTAACATTACAGCTCCACTCCAGTCTATCACTTCAGATCAGTTCTACGATTGCGCAATAATCTCACACATTGAACTATATGTCTCCCATATCGGTGATATGAGGGTCTAGATGGGGTTTATAAGTGTTGACGGCCCATATTCTATAGTGTTTAATGTTGAAACGCTAAATATTTTGTTGGTTACTGTCATGGAAGACTTCGCAGTTAAGTGTTGTAATTACTATAAAAAGTCTAATGCATTTCAAAAAGGGCTTTAAACTACTAAATTTCAGACAAAAGAATACGAAACTATATTAAAAGCGATGTCAGAGTGTGTTTACAGGTCTTACAGATCTTTATAGCTTTTACATCACTTGTCACCTTGCCCAGCACCTGCATCTTTGCCTTCATGCAGGCCAGCACATGCGCATATGGGCCTGGTGTGCCAATTACAAAATATGCAAAATATGTCTTTGATGGTCTTAGAGACTGTGCATTTGCTTCCTACATATAATTAAGTGCTTTTTTACGTCTTCATGAAATTAGCAAAATTTTACTATTATGTGAAATTTTTTACTGTTACTGTTAAATTACTAAAAAATCAAATGTTTACTGTTTTGGGCACCACCCCATCTAGACCCTCTGATATGTCTCTCGGCGCATAGTAATTATGTACATATCAAGACATTATTTTGTTACAGTTTTCCATATATTGGAAATGTTTTTTTTTATTAACTGTGGTTTAGAATTTTACGTAAAGTTAGTGCAGTAGCAACTATAAATGGGACTGATACACAAATCCAGCTAAGTCGAGTGACAATCTGTAAAAAAAAGAAAAGTAATAATTACAGCAAGGCCATGTTACCATTACACACGCAAAAACACACCACATCTTACAAAAAACTTGCTAACAGGATGAGCTTGTTGTCAACGACTTGTTGACAACTTGCTACAACGTTGTTGAGCTCAACAGACTTGTTACAGGTTGTTCCAACAACTTGTTATCGTCCTGCAATTCACCAATTTGTCAACAAGTTGTGCGTGACAACCTTGTAGCAACTTGATAAAATAACAGCATTGTTTCAACTTGTTGACGAGCTTGCTACAAGCCTGTTGCGAACACATCTTGTCAGGACAAGTTGTGAGATTTTAAAGTGTTCATATCACTCTTCAGTCTCTTGGCTCGGTCGCCCCATACGTAGAAATCGTCACTAAAAGAACAAGTCATAAGTACTGTACTTTGGTTTCAGAAAACAAGGTTAAAGTACCTTTTCTTGCCATTTCCATTGTAAAACAACTTCATGATAGGGAGTGCGCGAAAACGCGACCATGTGATAAAGCGGAATGAAGGTTCGAGGCATCATGCGGTTTAGAAGTTTGATTAAGAATGTCTTCACGAAGAAAACTCGAGAGTTGAGTAAGGCACGCATCTGAAAGAAATTGTTTGGTTAGAAAGTATTTAATTTTTTTTGCACAATAAAAAGGAAATTCGCAAGGAATTATAGACCTTCATTTCTTATGATGTCAAACGCGGAAAACACTTAATGCGATGCCCCAAGGGACAATTTTTAGCGAAAATTCGCAGTGCAAATTTGTTTTTACCTCAACGTAATTGTAGTAGGAAAGATCACAAATAGCATGCGCATCTGGACATCGCGTTAACGTAAACTTCCCGAATACTTCGTCTGAAAGGAAGTAAGAGTAAAATCAACATTCATGTTTATACAAGGATACAATATTGATGAGCATAGGCGTACGAGACAGGGGGGGGGGGGGCAACTGCCCCCCCCCAAAAAAAAAATAAAAAAAAAATAATAAATTGAAAAACCATGGAAATTCGGACAAATGATAGGAAAAATCAAGAAAATTCGGGCAGATTTATCAGAAAATATGTTAAAATCAGGTTATTTCATTACAATTCTCCACAAAAATTCGGGCAAACTTTCAACTGCCCCCCCGGAAAACATTAGTCCCGTTCTCCTATGTTGATGAGTGACTAACCAAAATTGTCATTGTACTTGTCCATATAGTCATTGAAAATCAAGCAATCTTCAAATGCCTAAAAAAACAAACGTTTTACGTAATATGTACATAAAACTTAAAGTGTGTTTTGGCTCGAGCTTGTATATCCGATACAACCCGGCCGCTCATGTTTTAAAGTCTTTAATTAAATAGTACATAAAACATACGCAGTTCATCCCTTGGCCGTAGAAAGGTACCATAGCATGAGCAGCGTCTCCCATAATTATCACTTTGTCTTTCACATGGTATGGACTGCACTGAAACATGAAATTTCGTATGAGAATTTATTGCGGTTAGAAATAAGGTGATTTATATTTGTCTCGCACCTTTACTGAAACCATTGGTGATGGTGGAAAGGAGAAAAACTTTTGTACCAGATGTTTCCTGAAACAAAAAGTCAACAAGGGTTTGCGCACAACAATATATTCAATACCTTGTTCAGTTACCTCCGGCTGGTACTTACTCGCCCATCAAGGGAATCGTGTCTTGAAAATGTTCGTTGAAAAATGTCAACACGTCTTTCTATTGAAATATAACGCAGTATTAATTCATTGAGAGAAGGCTCGCCATCATCAGCGAAGGTCTTCCCGAGGAAGGTCTCCAAATTTAAAAAAATTCTTACCTCACTTTTCAAAGATTCAAACATTTTGCAAGGCATAATGAGTGTGCATGTGAATGAACCATCCTATATTAAACAAGAGAGAGAGGGAAATGCATTTTTGTCTGTTCTAGTGTTCTATTATTAAAATTTAAAATGATTTGTGTACCTTATTGGGAAGAGCGATCAACATGAAAGAATCTCGAGGCCAGACATGAAGAAAATTGTGATCCATTGCATACTACTTGAAGAGAGATGCAAACAATTTAAATTGCCAATCAAAATTGGTAATTTTTTCGACCACTACAGAGTCAACTTTGAGATAGAACGTTCAAATAAAGGCGATGGATGATGGTGTACGATAACTCGTTGTCAGATCTGCTACTAAACTGAGATATCAATTATCCTTTTCATCATCATTAGCTTCTGTTTGTTCGTTCTCCTCTATGTTGTAACTAGTATTCATTGCTTTATAATATTATATATAGTGTTCTATTTTATAATTGTTGAGGTGCCTTGCATAGGATTTATCGCCTCGATCACATCGTCCTTTTGGGCAATTGAATAGTTTATGTTAGTGTTAGACTTCGGACCAATAAATGTGTTAAAATTAAAATTACAAATTAAACTACCTCGCCGCCGTCTTTTGCTGGAATATGCAGTTCTTGGTAAGCGTGAGCGATATACTCTTGTTTATAATTGTACCTAAATACAGAACAATGTATAGTCGTTTCATTGAATCAGGGAAATTTCACTTGGTCACGGAAAAATTACCATGGCTGTTTAGACATTTCTCTCCGGATTAACGAGTAAGCACCATCATTGCCAATGATTGCCTTATTATGAACTTCCACGGTCGTCTGATCTGATCTAGAAAATTCAACATATTTTATTGCAGTAATATACAGAGTAGGAGACACTATATGCATACCCATAGTAGTACGGAGCAACGCCTATACAGCACTTTTCTGCATTTGAAATATTTTCTGTACTGACCTTGTTAAAACCATGGAAGCCTCATTAAGATTCAACGACGTCAGTTTATGTTCAAAATGAAGGTTGACATTTGGAAGGCTTTCAGCAACTACAATTGTAAGATCTAAATTTATAGCCAGCACAAAGCACCATTCTAGTTTTACTCAACCTGAACTTTATTAAAATATGTCAATTGTATAGTTAAAAAAGAAAATTATCCATATAAATAGTCCATTATAAAAGTATCTAAAAAATTTCTGCTGCATTAGCATTTACATTAAAATCATCTATGAAGTCATTTGCGTTCTTAAAGGGCCTTCTAGATCCCCTGACACAAGTGTTCACCGATCTTAAAATCTCAAAAGATAAGCGTGTTCTAATCCATGAAATGACTGCGTGGTAAGGTTCCCCGTCCCTTCGTGAAAGCTTATCAGCAAGGTGCTTCAGAAACATTTGGCATTCTGTTCCCATACCACCGTTGGTACCAAGAACCAAAGGCGTGAACGTCCCCATTTCGACATCTAGCACTCGCTGTTGATATTTTCTCTTCTTCTCGTTCTCGTGCTCTTTAAAGATGGTAGTCGTAGGCTTGTTCTGGTTACACTTGGAGTTGACATGCGTTATTCTAACATCAAAAAATGCTGTCACTCCTCGTTGCCAGAAGCCTCCTGCCTTTATGTCCAATCTTGCCTCCGGACTAGTGACAGCGGTTCTGTGGCGGAATTGTTCGTTATCCAGCGGTTGAAGACGAGGCTCTGATTCCACATTCTTGCATACCTTGCTAGTAAACAAAGTTAGAAAATCTCGAATACCGTCGTGCCTCTGGGCTACAAACCCACCCTTCTTACACGAAAGGGCGTGGTTAATTGTAAATCTCTCTCCACATACACATAAGCTTGGTAAATCCTGCAGAGGTATGTTGTACCGCAATCGTAGGGAGTCTCTGAATTCTTGTTTATTCATGGCTAGGCCTTGCTCTTCAAGGGGTATTGCGTTAAGCCACGAGCTCGCTCCCTTATCTCTCGACTGGTTTACCAAACGCATGAGCTCATTAGACAGAGAAGAGTCAATAGTTTCCATTCTTGCTTTGACGGAAGCCGTTTTAAGTGACTGGTGGTAAATTTTACGATCTTCTGTGGATACGTCGCCTTTCGTCTTGAAGGGCCTTTGTGTAACGATGGATTCAACATGCGAAGTTGTTATAGATGTTGATGCAGCATACTGCTGTGGGGCATCTATTCTCAAGTCTGGTATACCAAGGCCGCCTTGCGCTGGTGTCAACGTGAAAAGCTGACGTAGCTCACCGGGGAGCGGTTCTACTTGCCCAAAGAGTGTTGGAAGAAACAAATCATCAATCGCTTCATGGATTGGATCTACATATTCTTGAAAAACTTGGCTCATGGCGTGTATGGC